TTTTTGCAGAAAAAATATGTCTATATGTATTTTGTAGATGGGAAAGAAATGCAAGAAAAGAAGAGGGAATAAGGAGGAGAGGAAGGGGGGAAAAAGCAAAAGAGTGTTTATCCAACATTTTCATCTGCCTACTGGAAAATTTTACAAAGTTTTGAACGAAGTCCGCTCTATGCCTTACTCTATAGGCAAACAGACATGCAGCAGCGCGTATTTACCTCCAATACCGTGCGGACATTCGGGCGCTATCCATGTGCTTCGGAGGCTCGAATCGAGGGTCGAATAGCAGTACGCGTACTTGCATATGTGCATGACCCGTAGCCAGGGCGGGTTTGGGGGATTACGAACGAACCCCGCCCCCGAGCCCCCCTCCCCCCAAGCCAAAAATATATATTTGAAAATATTGCAAGAGATTTCACTTCAGGTCGTCCATTTTAGTGTAATAAATTTGGCAAAAATCTCGCATCGTGCGGGAGGGTGAAACAGTGAACACCCACCTCCCACACTCCTCCGCTCGTCGCTTGGCTGCCCTCGGCCTGGTCCGTTCACGCCCCGAGAGGGGCGTGTACAGGGGGGGTCCAGGGGAGTCCGGACCTCCCCCTTGCTGCGCAGAAAACGAAATGCTGAGGGGTCTAATTTGAAAATTTTCTGGGGGAGTGGCCCCCCACACACCCGCCCGCTTCGCGTGCTGCAGGCGACTTTGGGTTAGTTAGACCGCACCCATAGTACAAAGAAAGTCTATATTCAGGCCGGTACGGGAGATTTACGGTACAGCATATTATTTGCTAATATATTGACTGAGTAATCGCAGGGCGTCAATAATACTCAATATTCAGGCAGAGAGTATAGCTAAGACATGTGTCTATAGGTATCTAGAATTATATTATGGGCAAATGATGACTCCGCGTACCGGCTTGAATTCATATACTCTCTGTGAATATTGAGTTTATTGACGCACTGATTAGTCCAATATAGCAAATATATGCGCGCCGAAGTGAATTACAGATGATTAAATTTCTAAATTCATAGATACCTATAAGACACAAGGGCATATGTCTTAGCTATAGCTGCTCTGTTGATATATTGAGTTTATTGACGCAAGTTATCGCGATTAGTCAATATATTAGCAATATATGGCGTACCGTAATCTCACCTGTACCGGCCTGATATAGACACTCCCATAGTACAAATCTTGCAACACGGCGCCTGGCCAGCAAATTACAACATTGAGAAAAAATCGAACCCCCCCCCCCCAATATAAAGCTCGCTACGGGCCTGCATTATGCGACACCATTGTACTTATACTGCACTACGCGCACGCGTACGCACAGCTTAAGTACGCGCAGCACGCAGAGCCTAACGCACATAGCGTAGCAGAGCGGTATACCGACCGTAACCAGGAACCAGGGGTAGCGTTCCGGCAGTAACCTGGGGTACATACGACCCTATGAGCGTTAGTTTTATGTATATATTTATATAGTTCCTTTTTTTCTTTTTTAGTTTTATTTGCACTTTTAGTTTTAAGTCTTTTTAATTAATAAATAGTTGGCTGTATTCTTTATGTAATATCCTAGCAGGCTTGGTTTTAAAGGCAAAACTGTTGTCAGCAAGCATGAAAGATAAACTTAAAGATAAAAGCTAAGTCGAGTGATGTTAATATAGTGTTTAAATATGCATTCAGCAATGTTATTTTTTTAGCTAATTACCAGGTTGAAGAAATGGAAATTTCTGTACGCGCCTGAAAGATTCAGCTAATTTCATTATTCTTTATTCCTATTAGCATGTATTGCATATTGATGGCAAATTATATAACTTCACTATCGTTGACATGCTACATAGACAATGTACTGAAGAAGGTGTTTATTTCCGTTTTCTTTCATTTTAAAAATATTGTTGAATGTTGCACCTTCCATGTGCAACAGATCGCTTCCAATTTCAGTGCAAAATTGAAAAAGCTCCCTGCCGTGAGGAGGAGGATCCCCCTCCCACAACACCCACCCCGCGTTGGTCGCCTGGTTTCTCTCGCTAAGGGGGACGCTTCGCGCCCGGGGGAAGTAACTCAGCCCCCCGCATGGACGCTTCATTCTCTCAAATTGGGCCTCCCCCACTTGAAGAAACCGTGGGCGCCGTTCCCTGACTATGACTATGAGGGTGCACCTATAATTGTCAGTAACTTTTCAACTTTATACATCATCGTATAAGCTTGTGTTTCTACAATGTGCAATAACCATGACGACCTTGTCCAGTATTTTGGCTCACTACGAAGTTTTATCACGGCATCCTACAGATTGTGGTACAGTGACGATATGGGCGCAATCGAACATTTATCACTACAGGCCACTGATCATGCATCAATCGTGACAGTATTCATTGAGCGTGAAAACTATATAAATAACCAAGATGCAATACACGCAATCAGATCCATCTACAATGAAGTAAGGAGAATTCACACACATTTTTCTGGAAGAATACAGGTGCGAGATGTAGGTGCTGTTAGAAGGGGTAAGTCAATATTGTTTATTGTTATTAATACTAATAATAAATATATTTTGTTAATAGGCCTAGTCTAGACCCTAGAGGATATTTTTACATTATTAGGGTACACATGTAAATCATCGTGTTTATTGGTTTAGTTTGCAGCCCAGAATAGCTTTTGTTTGTCACAATAGCCTGTCTTGTTTGACTCTGCTGTTGCCCTTTTTGACTTGTCCAACAGAACACAGGCCTGCTACATGTTTGTTGTGGGTTTTGATCTTGTTGTTGAACTTTCACTGACTTCAATTTATTTTTCATACAAATTCATCAGAAGAAGATAGCGACATTGAACATCAGCCTTTCACATTAGACATTAACAAAGTCCAACTTCTTAGAAATGCTGGAATGTCATGGACTAGGGCTGCTGATATCCTAGGTAGAGCAAGACAATGTACAACTAGACAGTTATAAAATTCCCATGAATTACTGTCTATTATTTCCATGGCAAATATCATGATGTAATATTTTCTTTCATTTGTTGCTGCAGAGATGAAAACATTATTGAATTTTAGTTTTATTTCAGTTTGTGGTTTAAAATAATCTACATTCATCCACTGACAGGAATCAACAGGCGCACGTTATATCGGCACAGACTTCATATGGGTATGGACACATATACTGCTATCTCCGATGATGACCTCAACAGAGTTATTACTGACATTCTTAATAATACACCAAATGCAGGGGAGACATACGTCAGGGGAAGTCTAAGAAGTCGAGGCATAACAATTCCCCGAAGTCGTATTCGTGCCAGCATAAGGGTTGTGGACCCAGTGGGACGAGCACTGCGACGACGAAGGGCAATTAGAAGGCGTGTGTATAATGTTCCTGGACCTAATCACCTGTGGTATGTGATCGTGTGTTGCCTAGTCATCAATCATGTTGCTCTTTTGTGCTTGGAGGAACTCGTTAGAATTTCAGAATTAACCCTATTTGCAATAGTGAATTGACATTGAATTTTTTTTATTTTTTATACAATTACAGGCATATTGACAGCAACCATAAGATTATCTCATGGAGGTTTGTAATACATGGATGCATAGATGGATACAGCAGGGCTATAATTTATCTTGAATGCTGTACTATCCTATGCTGTACTATGGTTATATCCCTGCGGCTTTGGTAGTGCCTAAGGGGGGGTCCATCTCTTGCCTCTGCCTCCCTCTCCCTCCCTCCTCCCTCCACTTCACCTTCCTTGTGTCCACAAAAATTTTTTTTTAAACAGGTTTCCTTCATGCATTTGCCAAAACAATGGCGACTTGAAGGTGAGCTTATGGAGAGCACATGCCAGATGCTGGATATGAAGGCGAACAAAAAAATCCTACAGGACCATATAAGTAACGTGTCTGGGAAAAAAAGTACTGCTCAAAGACCTGCACAATATTGGCACCAAGCGGAGACAGAATCACAAAAATAACTTTGAGGACCTCCTAGAAGAAATGCAGAAACATGAAGGTGCAACAGTGGAAGTTTGTGTTGACGAGAACAGCGTTCTACAGACGATATACTTCCAGACAGCAGAAATGCAACAGTCGTTTACTGCACATGCTGAGTTGGTATTACTGGATGCCACGTATAAGTTAAACGATTTAAGAATGCCGCTGTACGTGCTCATGATCGAAGATGGAAATGGAGAAAGCGAGATCATTTGCATATGGATAGTCTTGAAGGAAGATCGCCTTACCATACAAAAAATAGTAGAAATTTTCAAACAAGGAAATCCATGTGGGGTTCTGTTGAGGTCATCATGAGTGATAAAGATATGGTTGAAAGAGATGTTCTGCGAGAGGAATTTCCTGATGCTGCGATGCAGATGTTTATTTCATACTCTGAAGAGTATGAGGCGTGAAATAAATGCCGAAAAACTCAGCATATCGCAGGTAGAACTACTGGAGCTATTGCAGAAGATTGTATACGCTCAGTCAGTAACACAATATAATGAACTGTTCAACCAGTTGGAGAGAACATCACCAAAGTCAGTTGTGAATTACTTCACAAAAAACTGGCATGAGATAAAAAAATGAATGGGTCAATGGACTAAAAAATAGTGTCTATAATTTTCAGAATCAGACAAATAATAGATTGGAAAGCACAGATCAAAAAATTAAAGCTGTAGTGAGTAGGTAGGGGAGACTGGGTCTAGTTGTTACACGTGCAAGTTGTTACAAGGCCATTATTTCCACCTTAGAGCGATAGAGGGCGCGCAGGACTCTAGCACATGAAAGCTTTCTTTAGCACAACAGCACTCCACTAGGCATTGACATTGGTCACAGTTTTGCAGCTAGGTAAGACACAAAAACCGATTTCTTACCCTAAAAGTAAAATTTGGACTCAAAAACAATCTCTTTATAACTCTGCCAGTTATGGATGCAATGCAGTCATTTGTAGGTCGATAGGAAGTGTATGTAGTGACCTTTGATTCTACAAAATTTAGGGCTGTGGCCATGACCTGTTTTTACTGTACACCTGCAAATGCTTAAAAATCCTGTGTCGTGGCTAGTTGTTACACATGTATCAATTTACCCCAGGCATGTAACAACTTACCCCTTCTTTTCAGGTTAACACATCATGCCCCGAAACTACCAGCGAAAGACAAATAGGGGGAATACAACTCCTGAAATCATGGAAGCAGCTGCTAGAAGGGTTGTGAATGGTAATGGATCTTTACGGGATGTTGCCAAAGATTTTGAGGTAGGTTATTTTGGTAACCTAGCCCTTGATAAAGAATTTGATGTAAAAATTCTGAAAGATCAACCTTACCAAAAAGTGGTCCCACGTGGACTAATTATTTTTCAGGTGTGCTTTATGACGTTGCAGAGATACTGCAAGAAGTTCATGGAAAATGGGAAAATCTCCAGTGTTGGTTATGCAAGTCCCCGTGTAGTTTTTACCAAGGAGCAGAAGCTACTCGTATCTTACATCCTTAATGCTGCTAAAATTTACCATGGACTAACCCCCAAAGAAATCCGTAAGCTAGCTTATGAATATGAGTCAGCCAATGAAATCGGATGCCCTGATACCTGGTCTGCCAATGGAATAGCTGGTGTCGACTGGTTCTCGAAATTTATGAAACGGAATCGCAGTCTCTCTATCCGCACTCCAGAGGCTACGAGTTTAAACAGAGCAACAAGCTTTAATCTGACAAATGTGAACAAGTTTTTTGACAATCTGACCCAAGTTATAGACACCCACAAGTTCGAGGCTCATGACATATACAATTGCGACGAAACAGGTGTAACAACTCTGCAGCGCCCTGATCGAATTGTCACAGAGAAAGGAGTGAAACAAGTTGGTGTCCTGCCCTCAGCCGAGAGAAGGACCCTTGTAACGATGTGCCTTGCAGTTAATACAAGCGGAAACAGCATACCTCCAATGCTAGTCTTCCCCAGAGTCAACTACCGTGAGCACTTTGTTATCAATAGACCAACAGGCAGCTGTGGATCTGCCAATCCAAGCGGCTGGATGAAGGAAGCAGATTTCCTTATATTTCTACAACACTTTGTGAAACACACTCGCTGCAGTCAACAGCATCTAGTTCTGTTGTTACTTGACTTTTTTTTGACAGATGAAAAGTTTGTAGGTCAAGTCTTAGACCATTGGACCAAGGTAGATATTTGGCCTAATCTATGTCATGGAGGGGGAGAAACATCTGGATATACCTCTCAGGACGACGTTATGGAGAAGGGGCACACTGGGCTTGGCGGAAAATTAGATCGGATCAATATCACCAGTGGATCATGTCGTACTGGACTGGTTCAACGCATTTTTATATGTCTAGTTTAGAAACACTCACAAGACTATTGGGCCTTGAGAATTCATGGAGAAGTGCTGCGATCTCAGGTCTGAAAGGAGATACACCGTGGTTGGCCTCAAGAGTAGGATTGAGTTGTTCTGCGGATCAAGAGTGGTAAAACTGGTTTTTAGCCCGGATGACACGCGAACGGGTTACTAGCCTGTTCTCTTCTGTGAGGCTCATGGATAGAGGACCCCAGACATATGAGATGGACATGATTTTCTTGGCATTCATGGATGTGTGGAGGCAAACAGAGTGGTGGTCAATGCTAGGGAAGACAGACTTAACTCAGTTGTTTCTTGAAAACGAGATAGTTGCTGATCGAACCAGACAAGGCTTCCTTGGTCTTGAACTGGCTGATCAAGAATATATTATTAGGAAATCAGGAACTCGGTACGTTCAACTTGATGGATATTATGAAGCCCACGCCGGGACAAAATCCTATAAAAACCATGGTTATTATTTTCCAGATGATCCCTTGCTGTGTTACCAAGATGGTTATTTCCTGGGTGATATTTTGCCTTGGAACTAGTATAGCCACTTCCCAACAGGGAGACTTAGGCACTCTCGCATCAAGACTCTGTTGGGGAATAGACTATTCTCCTACGGGCGGAAGTCACTAGAGTTGGTACGTCCCTAACAGACCCGATATGGATACCCCTTGTTTGGAGTGTTAACATTGTCCCGCCGGATCATACCCCTTTGACTGCTCTATACCAACGCCTCTGCATTGAGAAACAGCTTACCCCTCCATTTGTTCCTGGTGCGGATTCCGCCCAGGTCCATGATCAAGTGTGTTCGACCCCAATCACCAAGGTCCCTCAGGCCACCCTGAGTGCCAACTCGACAAAAAAGAGACAATTTGTGGTAGGGAGTATAGCCTTAGCCCGGGGAGAAGAGACTCGAGAAAAGATTAATTTAGAAATTGTTCCAAAGCTGAACACCCTCAACTCAGGACTCCAGAAAATAGCAGATCAGCAAATTCTCCTCGCAAAAAATGTCCAAGACTTTAGAAACGCGTTAGTAATACAATTAGAAGCTTTCAATAACTACGTCAACAATCGATCATACATGCTATCAGGAGAGATTACAGCGAATTTTAAACTCATGGCCCAGGCGCTTTATAATATGGAGGTCAGATCCGGGATGGCCACGTACAAACTCGGGAAATCCCTCTACGATTCTCAAATGCGCCATTATTGGCACCTGAAAGCAGGGCTTTTGAATGGAGTAATTCTGAGTGAATGGTGCCTTCCCACCAGCCCTTACCAAACGGAGCTTTTCAGAGCCGTGTCGGGAATTAACGATGCCCCTATCCCGTCAGATCAACTAACTACGATGTTTTGCAACTCTCTTTGGGAACATCTAGGGGAGGGGATTCCTTCCCTAGATAAAGTGAATCTATCTAAACTGGTCCCCCTCAGCGGACTCCAGAACGATATTTATAGGTTGTCTCCCCTCATGATAGTAGAAGGATCCTATGAAATTTTGTCACCGCCCAAATCTGTCCTAGTGATGAAAGATCTCTACACTAACTCATATGCAGAGATCGAGATGAAAGATGAGAGGGACCTCGAGCAGATCGAGTGGTTCGCCCTATCTGATTTGGTACACTTAGAAAGCTCCGAGTGCATGTTTGGAATCAATTATAGATCGATCGTCTTTTGCATTCTGTCAGTCTAAGGTATTACATACTTCCAAAGATTTCATTTCGGCACCTGTAAGAGACGGGATCTGGGTTTCCAGGACGGTGCAGTTGTCAGAGGTATGCCTAAGCGATGTGATAGAGACCACTCTCAGAGGCCATATTTATTGGCGATCAAAAAATGGATGCAGCTATAAAGTATTTGATCGGACAATCCTACATTCCCGGACTGCCTTCCAAACATCGGATATCTTCGTATTTCCGGAGGCTTTGTCAGTAGATTTTCCCCCATTGGAACTACATACAATTCCCGCCATGATTTCATCTCCCGGATTTGGAATGTATTTAGAGAGATTAAAACAGTCTAATACCAAGCTTGACAACTTGACTAGAGAAATTATCATAAACAACGAGGACATTGGTGTCGAACCTGTGCGACTCCTTCTTAAATCCTGGTCACGGCACTGAATGTAACATTGAAATGAAGTTCGTTGAATAAATGATATAGAAGGAATCCAAAACTTGGATCATAATAAAAATTATCTCGCAATGTTAAAATTTTGACCTGCATTAGATTGATACTACCTTTAAGATCCATAACTTCACATTTACGAGCTGAGCCGCATGTTCCTTACTTAGATCATTTTTTTCTGTTAATTCTTACAGGTCACAGATGTTAAGCTCCACTATGAGACACTCCGTGGTGATGTGGAAGCCGAGTTCCACCGCATATATGAACACTCTGTGAGAATGGCTTCTAGAGTAGGCGTGAATCCTTGTATGCCGCGCAGACCAGGAGGGACATCACGATATCGTAACACGACCCCTGCACTAGATACTAGATATAGAGACTTACTACCGGCTGAATGTAGCCATCCCATTATTGGACCACATTCAGTCTGACCTGGAGCAACAGTTCAGTGGTAAATAGCAGTAATAATTTCTGTGCATAGTCAAAAGTCTTGGTCTAAAATGCAAAAGTGTTGAGTTAGGATTAAAATTGTCATGATATGATGAGATTTTATTGTTCCTAAGTTTCTGTAAAATTATGAAGGTATCTGACCTTATGCCAAAGCTGTTCATGGTTAGTATTTCTGTCATATTCTTCCTTTGATTCTACTTTGGTTTACATTTTGCCAGTATGAAACAGTTTGGTGGGAAATTTAGCAGATTATTCTCCAGGTAAAGATGATGAATTTGAACTGATGTATAGGCAATTAGGCATGGTATCAAAATATAATTGCTAAAGTGGATTCACCCAAAATTGTGATGATGGGGAGCAGGCTTTTGCTTGATATAGATATGAAGAAGGCTGAAATGGCTTTCCATAAAGCTTGAGCCTAATGTATACGGTAGTTGCTATATGGAGCAGAATTGAACATGACTTGCTAGAACTGTTTTTCATTTCATTTACTACACTCATTGTTTTGTATAGATCTGTACTTAGAATAGACCACTTTACTAATGTATTCAATTTGTATGCATACTTCCTTCACAAAGGTTACCCATGACAACCCCAATGCTTGCCTGAGGTTTGCCTGAAGCTTGCCTGACGTAGGAACAACTAATGTATGCAAAACAAATTAAACAATAGAAACAGACTTGAAACAAGTAGGTGAACGAAATAGCTCATCACTAGGCATTTGGGCCAGAAACATCCATGAATATCAATACATTAATTAGTAAATTGGTCTGTTAGCTATAGGCCTAACCATGCAAAATAAACCTATGATTTAGGAATGTGGGCATGAGAAGATAGAACTATAGATGCACTTCTTATAATTATATTGTATGTTTAAGCTTATGCATACATAGAGCGTGGATGTAGCTCTTTACAGTTGTTTTTCATTATATTTTCATACATGTAACATCCGTAACACTAAAATGTAACGTCCGTAACAACTTTAATTAAGGTAATTAGACAATACAGGAGTGTTAATTTCAAACTTGCTATTCATGTCTATATAGAATGGGGACAGACCTACATCAACATAGTTATTAAAAAAAACTAAAGGAAGTAACTTCACAGAGTTTTACCAATATGTACCAAATGTAAAAAAGTCATGTCACAACGCATAACATCCGTAACGCTCGTTTCTTATGATTGTGGCTAATAAATCAATTAAGCTAAAACAAAGTTGTTGTACTATAATAAACACCAGAGTGTATACTACAAGTATAAGAGAAAATAAACTGTTCTTTCAACTGCAAGTTAGTTAGTTTATCTATTGAAAGTTGCAAGTTGCATGTAAACGTAACGTCCGTAACGGTGGAATTGGCCATATACAGACTCTGATGGATATCACCATGAATGTTATCAGAGGTTCACCATGAATCTTAAGCGCTTGGAGGTTCCTCCAGACACGCCGGAAGCAACATGTTCATCCAGAACAAGTCGGCGATCTTCAAATGACAGTGATACCACTATCTACAAGCCCAATTGTATATTCTGTAACTCCGAAGGGCGCAAGAAAATCAAGGTGAAGGGTAACTGGACAAGTGAAGGAACCTCTAAGTTTGAGTTTGATGGTTGGAGAAGAGTTCTAGAAGTATGCTTCAAGAAAGACTCGACTCACTGTGTATATTAACAATTGAAACAAATATTCTGAGAAGTATTACTTTCGAGGATGTTATCAGTGATTTTGCGAAAATGAAATGTAGAAAAATGCCTTTCAGGTCATAAATATTGGAACTTTGATACATTTAACTTGTGAAATATTAAAATAGATGTTGTATTGCATTTTTGTAGAACTTTATGTAGCCCAAGCTTGGCTTAGTTTGTACAGTATATTGTGTTATCATATGAATACACTTTTGTACTGCTGTAACCTGCATTGTATATCTGGTCAGACAGGTCAACAACTAAAATGGACTGGGTCAGTGTGGAAAGGAGGGGGGCACCAACATTGGGTCGTGCTTAAGGCACCAGTGAGCCTTAATCCGCTGCTGGCATTGCACAAGTAGAGTCAGCACCGATACATTTAGTTCCGAAAACGTAAACAAAATAGTTGGACATTACAGGTATCCCCACCAATAAATTCGGCCTGTCTGATCGTGGCTTCGCACCCTCGTTAGCCCTACCAACAATTTTTGTAATCATTGTGCCCCCCCCCCCAACAACAAAAAGGTGACACTGTGAAGATGGCAGTTATTTCTCTGAAAGTGTTTCATGTACTTGCTCCTCTTAGCAATTCGTTTACATTCTTTATTCCTATTATTCATATTTATGCAAATTACTTTACCATAGTCGAAGACATTTTTACTGAATAGGTGTTTTTTCTGTTTTTTTCTCATTTGAAAATTTGCAGGAATTTTACCTCGGGTATGCACCAGATCGCTCCATTTCAGTGTAAAAATTGCAAAAGCTCCCTCGTCTGGGAGGGGTGACAATCGCCTCCCACACTCCCTCAGCTGGGTCGCTACGCTCCCTCGCTAGGCCGCTTCGCGCCCGCCCTCACTTTGTGCCCAAATAAAATAAAAAAAACCTAATAAAAAGCTGGCTATGGGCCTGGAATGTTTTTATGTCTGTTTGTACTACTGCGCATGCGCAAAAACTACGCCAGATTCTCACGAGAACACTAATTGTTTTGGCGTGAAAAGTCAGCTGTTCTCAAGATTCCAGATTCTAGATTCAAGATGTTTATTTGTGCATAAGTTATGTAAATACAGATTACAGCGGCAAATAGGAAATATACAAGTCATTACTGATGGCTTAGACTGCATTCATGAGTTGTGTCATCTGCAATAACGCATTTGAAAAGAAAACGAAAGGTTATAAACGAGTTTCTGTGCTAACAGTGTCATCACATGGAACATTTGGCATAGGTTCTCTGCACAAATACTTTGTGCCAGGCAGCTACATGTGTAGCCGTGCTACGCCGATTTAAGCTGTGAGTGCGTCCAACACATGGCAGCGGTCGCCTAGGAAACCATAGGCGATCAATAGCTGCCACAGGAAGAAATATATTATTGCGTCATTTCCGTAGAAGCTTCTACAATGTTCTAGATAGGTCTTCAAGAAAGCAACTGCGTAGGAGAGAGAGAGAGAGTTTTGCAGGCAGAGATAAAAGACACGTCGCCGCGCGGCGGTGAAAGTTCAGCCGCGGGTTTTGTGTAGCGTGTAGTCAGACGCATATAATCTGTATTTGGAATCACTGAGTAGAATAAATCATCTATAGTCCGTATTCTACGTGTTCGCATATGTTATGATACGAGCGTACTCGCACAAGACACGCATATGTCATACATACTCCGTACACGGCTTCCGTGATATCTGCGAGCGCCGGACCTGGAAGCTAAGACATCGCAAAGTACTCAAACATTAAATAGCTATACGATCACAGCCATCGCGCCGCAGTATCATTTCACCACACACATGCGCTCACGCACACACGCGCTCACGCGCTTACGCACACACGTCACGCACACGCGCTCACGCACACGCGCTCGCGCTCACGCACACACGTCGCACACGCACACATGTCGCACACACGTGCTCACGCACACACGTCTACGGTTACGGGTACGGGTACCAGTCTAGCTTGCCGCCAGCCGCAGTAGACGATCGATAAACCCTGCGCCTGCATGTACATATGACCGTGGTAGATTACGAATGCTGCACGTGAACTCGGAAAAAAACGGAAAACGCGGAAACAATTCTGGGATCGGGAAAAAAGCGGAAATCCGTGGAAACGCGGAAAATTTTCATGCCTGCATTTGGGCCAGTGACTAGGGATGCTAGTGATCTTGTATCACTTAGTATCGTACGTCGGGTGGTACATCTGATATCAAACGGCATTGAGCAACGCACACGCGAATGTCCGAGGAAC